CCCCTTTGGTATAATCCAGACTACGCTGCTGGCCAGCATTAAATATGAGATATGGAAAAAGTGACAGTGAAAAATAACACCAGAAGTATAATTTTTAAGTATTGAATAATGGTTAAAATTTTTTTTTAACTACAATGTGATCAATGAGGATTTAAGCTTAAATAATTTTATTGTTTTGTTTAATTGATCATAAATTATTTACTACTTTTCGTTGAAAATTGCCTAACTTAAGCTAAGCAAAATCATTTTATTATATACAATTAGGAAAGTTAAGGTAACGAAAAGTTATCGAAAAGGTATTTCGACCATCGTATATTGTAATTCAGTCCAATAACCTCACTGCAACTTCCACAAAACAATAATTTAAATTAGTTTTAAACAAAAATAGCTTCGTTACAGCTATCACTAATAAGCTATTGTTAATTTACATATCTCCCTATATTTATATTTGAATTGTAATCGTTTGCAATAAACTGACAAAACCGAAACGATCACTTTTCTTTATTAAACTTTTTTGCAAAAACCCACACATAATTTGAATTCAATGGCGGAGCAGGAGGACGAAGAAAACAGAAATGCTCTACAAAGACACACTTCAGATCTACGCAAACGTAACGCTTTAGCAACGAGGCTAAAATGTTATTGCATTTCAAAAACAAGAAAAAAAAACAAACACTAAATCTAAACAGAAAATGGCCTTAAAATATTCGCGGAACACAAAAATCATTCATAAAAACCGAAAAAAAAACAAAAAAAGCAAGCGAGATATGCGTCACAAACACCAAACATGCAGCGCAGAGCAAGAAATGCTGAAATTCATTTACTGCATGGCATGGAAAATGGCATATGGCATTAGCAAGAGCGATCGGCGAAAGAGTGTGAGTGAAGAAGAAAATAAGCTACTAAACTTCGCTTAGCTTAGCTGCTATGTAGATTTGCTTTGTATGCTGTTGAGCGCGCGTTTAAACCCCGGTTTTGAGTTGGTATAAAAACTAGTGTGCAGCCCAAAGCAAAATCAGTCAACGAGTCAGCAACAAACGAACAAAACACTAACCTGATCTCAACAGGTACAAAAGGATATTTTTATTTACGAACGGATTGCATAAGGATTTAAACCGTTACAAAGTTTTACATAATATTATTATTATTTTTTTAATTAACAACAACACAAAAACAAATAAAGGTGAGTTGTGTGTGGTGTGACGAAAGCAAAGTGAAGTGCAAAAATGTGTCAAAAGTTGTGCAAAATATAAAAACTAAAATTATATAAAATTTGAACTTCAAGCCGTCAGAAATTAAAAATAAATTAAATTTCTTTTTATTGAATAAATAAATGAATTTTCAATTACTTCAAGTTTAAGTATTTTACGTTAAATAATTCGAACAACATAAAAACAATTCGTACCAGCCGCAAAATTGTGAAAACACTATGAACCGCAAGAAAATTACAATAAAATCACCTTAAAGATAAAAAGTGAAATTGTTTTACGAATTTGTTGGCCGCAATTGATGTGCTCCTCAAGATTGCAATTATTGCAGTCCGAAAGAGTTTCCTTCAATAAATGAGAAAATATTTTGCTATTTTATTGAATTTCCACAAATTTTGTGGCATGCAACTTCAAAGAAATAAAAATTTAAACTCGAAATTCGTTTGGATTTAAGTTGAGTGAACTTCAGTGGACAATACGTTTAAAGAATGAAAATGTACAGTCAAAACAAATATTTTGTGACATATTAATTGAATTAATTCAAAATTGTCATGTACAATCAAAAAACTTTTGTTATTATCAAACAGAGTGACTATATTTCTTTAGTACCTAACTTGAAAGATTAAATATCTTAATTAAATAATATATTTGCATTTTTAAAAGTATTTTATTGTTGCATTTTACAATATTCCCTAACGTTTTTAAAAGACTCTAAGAAACGTCCATGATACACTTTATTATAATATTTAATCATAGTGTTATAATCATAAAATTGAAAGAAAATACTTACTGCAAATTTATTCAATGTTTTTTTTGTTGAATGATTATCAAAAGTTTCGCATTTTAAAAGTTAAGAATTTTTATATTTCCATAGATCCAAGCTCAGTGTTTGGTTTTCAATGTCAATATGTTTATATGTTTATGTCTATCTAAAAATCACTTGTTCTTATATTTAATGCGTAATCTTCTTTTGTATCCTTATGTGCTTAACTTAAACAAAAATTGATATAAAAAACAGGAATAAATATGAAAGTTACACATAAATAATAAATAAACAATAATTGTATTTCTGCAGTTAAAACTATGATAGAATTAGAATGCCTTCTTAGCTGTTGATCTCCCTTTAGCCAATAGAAATTTCATTCTGACTTTGATAATTGTACTTGATAATACGTTTTCTAATAAATTATTTTTTATGTCCTTATGCAATGACTTCTATCACTCACAGAATTTTCCGTAAATAAATCCTTTTGTTGTATTCTTACATATTTATAGAAAAATATACCTGTGTCAAAATTCAAGAAATCCAAACATTTCGATATCATTATACTTTTTTCTTCTACAATAAACTCTTAAATAAAATGTTTACCATGTGTTAACATTTTCTTAATATCCTTAATATCCTCCAATCTTAACACATACCATCTGCGCTCAAGAAACACAACTTTTTATTCTGTACTTTTATTCTTTTATCCATTAATTAATATTTTCGCTACATTTTAAAGCTCTTAACTCTTAGACCATATATTTTTGTCCCCAGCAATATTTTGACCAATTAAGTCTTTTAATATAATATTTTCATATATACAGTAGGTAGTAATGTATTTCTTCTCTTCGAAATACTGCCATCGCTATTTTAATGGATAATTATTACGACAAATAATCCAAATTTATTTCATATTTCATTTATTTCATATTTAAAATAACTAAAGTGATATTACTCCTATTAATTTGAACTATTGTAATTCGGTGTGTGAACTAATCTGAATCACATCAATTCAGAAGTATAAACTTCGACTTTTTAGTGATATTTTTTCGAATCATTATTATGGCTTTACAATAAAACCAACGATTTATCGAACCAGGGTATTTCGAGTCTCTAAGCCGAACCACTGTATAAATGTATACGGTTCACAGCCCTGATTTTATTAAGCAAATAGTCTTCAGTATCTTTTATGAAGCTCCAATATAGAGTGTACTCCAAAATAATTACAAATAAAAATAAACCTTACAAATCCTAATATCCTAAGAAATAAATGCTATGAAAAAAATATAGAAACATATTGAGAATAATAAAAAGTATTATAATAAATCAAAATATAATAATATCAATTACATTAAGAACACTATGTTCAAGAAGTAAAATAAATTTGTAATAATTAAACAGAAAAGTTTTATTTTGAGTAATAGTCACTCATATAGTTTCTGACCCAAACACTTAAGGGAAAACTGGTTTAATTGTTAATAAATAACAATCAAAACATTATGTTTCAAAACAATTGAAAAAAAATCTGGTTTAAAAATATAATAAAAAACAATTCATTTTCGTCATTCAATAATATGAATAAAATTATTTTCCCTCGCAACGGAAATCTAAAGAAAACCAGAAGACAACCTTTAAAAAGGAAAATTAATAAATTCTACTTATCAAACAAAAATCAGTTTTTTTTTTTGAAAATTTCTCTAATTTGCATTTACGAATAATAGACTTCTATGCAACAATGCACAAAAAGTAATCGAACTCTCTTTATAGGGGAAACATGCACGACATATCCGCTTTATGGAAATTTGAGATTTTAGTTTAAAATAAGTAAGGTTACATGTAGAAATATGTAAATCCGAAACCAACAACTTATCGATATACTTACAAAGGTTTTCAAATTGAAACTTCTACTTCGACCCCATTTGTACTCAGTTTCTCAAACCAGCTCTACTCTATAAGACAAATACAAATGCAAAGATATAGAGTTTTAGTAACTTACATAATGGTCTTTTCGAAAGGAGAAAAAGCAATTTAATAACCTTAACAATAATAATAAAAAATGTAACTCCAAAAAAAAACTGTAATTTTGCGCTCCAGAAAGCGCAATTAAAACTGAGTCCCACATTAAAAACCTAAATTGAAAAAAAAAAAAACAACAACAAAATGATATAACAACTTCAAAAGAGGCAAAAAATACAGAGACAAAGACCATAAAACTCAAAAGTCATAGGGCGGAAAGTACGTAATGATCTTACGAGCACAGATAGCAACTGTCAAAGCCATAATTGAAATCACTTTCGACTCGATGAAATGATCACGAACCCAAAATAAACAAAACAAAACAAAGCCAAACACAACTCAAGTCAACTGCAATATTGCAAAATCTTTTTGGTACATAAACAGAAATTACCTCATAAATTACGCTTTCTTATGCTTCTCCATTTAATTTATTTCCACATATACGTTCACATACCGCCTGCCGAAGGCTTTCCTCTAATCTTCAGTCCAACCGAAATCCGTCGAGCTCATTCGCAGCAAAGCATCGAAATACTTACAAGCGAATACAACATATGTACATAACTACTCTTCCCGTCTTTCTTCGCTTCGAGCAACAACGACCCGACAAAAAAGTGGCATGGCAAGCTAACGACCTTTAAACGAAAGTAAAAGTCGTTCGTTCGCTTAAACTTGCCACTTCGAACGAAATGGAAACTGTTTTTTTCTCCTTTTCTTTGGCTTCTTTTCTTTCAAAAGATGCATGAGTCAACAAATGCGTCTACCGGTTTCTTCGCCTATTCGAAATATTGTAACTCTACTCTTTTCAATTTTTCTTGCCTAATTTGTTTTGATTGCCGAAATTCCAAATATGACAGCAAAAAAGTAGCACAATGACCATTATGGACGGGGTATTGAAGTTATCCATATATTATCTTTTGAAATGCGTTACTTCACTTCGCTGTTCAAATAAAAATTATCTAATCATTAGTTAATTATCAAATCTAACCTTTTTAACGCTTTTACAGCTTACATCAAAATGAGAACACGGCACAGTTTGGCCTTTGTGGCCGCATTACTTTTGGCTAACGCTGCATTTGCGTATGCTGGTTGGGGTAGTGAATGGGAGCCCATAAAGGAGTCTATGCTTAGCAGGCGTTCATCTGATGCGGAACCAAAACAGGATGTTGACACACAAGGACGCAATTATGCTGTCAACGAACCAATATACAGCAATGATACCGATATCAATACAGTTATTGATCAAATTATCAATTCACGTCGTGAAGGCCGTAATTTGGGTGAATACGATCAAGTTTATGCCGACGGAAATATCGATCAGGCTTTGCAACAAGGCAATGATTTGGAAGCACGCAATTTGATACGTGATAAACTATGCGGCTTGGGTTTAATGAGCTGCGATGTTGAAGAGAAACGTCCATTCTATTCAACAATATATGCACAAGGTCCACCTCCATATGGTGGTGGTCCATATGGTCCAGCTAAACCTATGCCACCACCAGGACATTTTAATGCACGCCCACCACCACCACCAAATTCTTTTGGACCACCACGCAAAGTAGGCTATGATGGTCCTTATAAACCAAACTATAGACCATCTGGCCCAGGTCCAGTCTACAACGGACCATTTTTGGAAAGTCCACCACCATCCGCTATTGATGGTTCAGCCAGTGCTACATTCAGCAAGCCGCCACCAGGTGCTATCATTTATGGTAGCAAACCACCAGGACCAATTTACACTGGCAATTCCGATGCTCCACCATATAACTTTGAAAATCCTGGTCTAGATAAAATTCATGCAGCCGGTTCACAGCAATCCAACTTCTACAGTCAGCAATCGTCATCTGCTTCAGCCTCCACTTCTGCGTCAAACATTATTGTAGGCACTGTACCTGCCCCCGCATCTGGTCCACAACAACACGTACATCACCATTTCCATCATGTTGAGGGTGCCGAAGCCACTGGTGCTAAAATACCTTCAGTACCTGTACCTATTGGCAGCGGTCAAATTGTGAATACCGACTTTGCCACACTAGCACAATCTTCTGCAACTTACACACCACAAGCACAAGGTGGTTTTTCACAATCTTCAGCATTCCAAGCAGGTTTTAATGGTGCATCTCAAGGTGATTTATTCACTCAGGGTAGCAATGGCTTCAACAGTATACACAAACCAAATGGTGAAATTTACAAGCCTTCTGCCGGCTTAGGCAGCTTTACTAGCCCCACTGATCTATATCAGCCAGCACCTCCTACTACCGGTTTTAGCCAAACCAGTGGAAGTTACCACAGTCAAAATCCCAACTACTTCAAAAAAGAGTTACAGAATATTGGCGGCCTTACTGGAGCAGGCAATTTCAATGGCATTAGTACAGGCTACGGTGATGCTTCACAATACCAAGGTGGATATGATACTGCACGCCAACAAATAGTCGACTGTCAATGTGTACCATTTAACCAGTGCCCTGCAGCTGACCGTATTGGACGCAAAGAAGATTTGATTTTACCAATCGATCCACGCAACCTCGGCAAAGATATTGAAGCATTAAGCGATGAAGCCGCCGCAAATATTACAACTAACGCAAATCCCACAAGCAAAGATGACACCGCAACTAAAGAAGACAAAAAAGATGAAAATAAGAACCGTAATAAACGTCAAACTGATTCTGATAACAAGCAATCAGATGAAAACTCCGACTTAGCTTTGGATGCACAAGGGGTAAGTAACATAGAATCTGTTTTTTAAGACCTAACATATTCCCATAAAACGTCTAATTTCTTAAAAAATAATTCATACAAACTAATTGTTAGCCTATTATCACAAATACCGTGACATGCACACACTCACAAGAACTCTGCCTATTCCACACGAAACTAGTTCGAAGCTATGCCCACGTCGCCAACCGCCATACAACCCACTTGCATACTCGCGTACTCGATTCTTTAGCACATTTGCAGTTTTAGTTTGTTTGGTTAGATTATGCGCGGTAGCGAATGGGAAATATGTAACGCTCCGGGACGTAACTAATCCAAACTAAAAAACAACTAACTGCACTGCAATATATAGCTCAATCGCACGCCTACTAGCATGTCAACATATTTGGTCCCCAAAGCCAAACCTACAGACAAACTAAACACTATTTTCTACATGTCAAATGATAAGTTTTATACTCTGTTGACAGCGAAATTTTCTTTTGATAGCGTCAGGGTCTACCTCCACTGCAAGCCTTTGAACTGATAAAACGTAAAATTTTACCAACCTATGGTGTATCCTTCGGTTTGCCTTATCCAACTGGATATGGTTATCCGGCTAATGCAATAGGTGGCTATTATCCTGCAAAAAATCCACACTTTGGTGCCATCGGTGTAAATGGTGTGAATTTAGGGTTATTAAATGTTAATCCACTTCTATCACTACAAGTAAGCAAAACTGAATTCGGCGACAAGGTAGTTAAACCACTGGTTAACTTTCATGTCACACCAAACGGCAACATTTTACAAAAAGTGGGAAACTACTTCAAACCTAAACCACCAATCGTACATAATAGTCACTATCACCACCACGATCATTTTTCTGGTTATGATGATTACAATGGACCACATATTTCAAGTGGCCCGGGACCAATTTCTCGTTATCCATCTACTGGTCCTCAAATAATTGAAGTCCCAAGTAAACCTGTATATGGATATACACCATACAATACACCAAATCCACCATCAGATCCTGTGCAATATGAAAGTCATCTGCAATATGAGAGTTTTTCTCAACACATAAACCCATTTACTACCTCAACTACTACTACAACTACTACCGAACCAACTGGCAATGGTTATGGCTACTCAACGGACAGTAGTACCACCACAACAGACAGCAGCTCTGGAGGCAATAACAATGGAGATAATAACCATGGTGGTAGTAACTATGGTGGTAACAACTATGGTAGTGGAAACTATGGTGGCTCCAACTATGGTAGTAGTAACTACGGTGGCCCCAACTATGGTAGTGGTAACTATGGTGGGTCCAACTATGGTAGTGGTAACTATGGTGGTAATTACTATGGTGGTGCTAATTATGGTGGTAATTTCTATGGTGGTAATAACTATTTACCCAATAGTTATTACGGTTACCCGTCAGGATCTGACTACAACGGCGGCTATTATGGTAGTGGCTTTGGCAATTTGTACGGAAAAAGTAGTAACATAAGCCAATCAAGTTATGAAGATCAAGATTCATATGCATCAAACTATAATCGTAGAGGTCGTTTACTTAATACTTATCACCAAGTAACGACGCAAGCACCTGGCGATGCGGAAGGAAGTGAGTATATATCATTCCCTAAAGATCGTCGTAGAAGAAGTATTGAAGAACATGAGGATGCAGCAGAGTTAAGAGATAGTGTGTTGTCACGAGCAGTGAAAGCAGATCAGGTAAAACTTATGTCTGATACTCATAGTCAAATGCGCGACAACAATGTTTCTAAACTATTAAAAATATTGATAAGTCAATTGCATTTTGGGTACTCATAGGTTTTTATTTAAATTTTCAACATTTTTCTACTATTAGGAAATAGAACCATTACTAAATTTATAAATCTTACAGCGCGCTTATTATGGTAACCGTCCAGTTGAGAAGACTTGCCGTGTTAATGAAGTGTGTTGTCGTCGTCCTTTCCGTCCACCACAACAACAGCAATTGGGTCGCTGTGGTGTACGTAATGCTGCTGGCATTACCGGACGTATCAAAACACCAGTTTATGTAGATGGCGATAGTGAATTCGGCGAATATCCTTGGCATGTTGCCATTTTGAAAAAAGATCCTAAAGAATCAATTTATGCCTGTGGTGGTACATTGATTGACGCTCAACACGTTATCACCGCTGCACATTGCATTAAATCGTAAGTTAATACATATTTGTAATAACCGTAGCATTATTCATGGGTTCCCTTGTTAAATTGTAGACAAAACGGTTTTGATTTACGTGCACGTCTTGGTGAATGGGATGTTAACCATGATGTTGAATTCTTCCCATACATTGAACGCGATGTAGTGTCTGTGCACATTCATCCAGAATACTACGCCGGTACCTTAGATAATGACTTGGCCGTACTTAAACTTGATCATCCAGTTGACTTTACGAAAAATCCACATATTAGTCCCGCTTGTTTACCTGACAAATTCTCTGATTTTACTGGTGCACGTTGCTGGACCACTGGCTGGGGTAAAGATGCCTTTGGTGATCATGGCAAATATCAAAATATTTTGAAGGAAGTTGATGTGCCAATACTCTCACATCACCAATGCGAAACACAATTGCGTCAAACACGTCTCGGTTTTGGTTACAAACTTAATCCTGGATTCCTTTGTGCCGGTGGTGAAGAAGGCAAGGATGCCTGCAAAGGTGACGGTGGTGGTCCTTTGGTATGTGAACGAGGTGGTATTTGGAACGTTGTTGGTGTAGTTTCTTGGGGTATTGGCTGTGGTCAAGTTAATGTACCTGGTGTATATGTGCGTGTAGCTCACTACTTGGACTGGATTCATCAAATCACTCAATACTACAAGTGATCCACTATCAAAAGTAAAATTTGTTCTCAACGTGATGTGTTCCAATTTCACTTTAATTAAGCCATTAATTTTTGTACTATAATTATTTATTTATTAGTGTTTTAAGCTAGAGTGCTTTTTACAATTGTATTTATTTATAATTATTGCTATTCTTTTTTGTTTTGTTTTTTTTTTTTTGTTAAATCCCCTCATCTGTTGTTATCCATTGTTAGCCATTTACACTCAGTATTAATCTTCGTATCGTGATAATTGCGATCTTAAGATTGATTGACACTGAGTTTGTTAAAAGTTTGTAGCCCACTCGAAAATTTTGTGTTTTTTGTGAATGTTTTTTGTTTTTTTCTTTTATTTTTAATTATTTATATGTTATGATTACAAAATATTTAAATAAATTATTTATATAATATATAGTTGTTTATTTATTTTTAACATATGTATATAATAATCTATTTGGAAAAAATGTTATACTTGCTTGATTTGAGAAAAGAAATCATACTTTTCAGTTTCTATTATCCAAACTGGTGTCAGTAAAATTTAAATCCTTATTTCTGTTTATTTAACCACAAGGTTTGATTAGTTAATTTTATAATGGAATAATTGTAAAAGTCCTGGATTTGCAACATCTTGAAAGAGCTAAAATATTTCAAGCAGGCCATTTTTAGTTCGTTTTTGAAGACATTTTCTTTGGCTATAAAAAAATAGTGACTTAAGATTCCAGTAATTCAAGCAATAATTAGTAAGTTAACTGGTCTAACAAAACCGGTGGAAACATACTAATTTGTTTGATGTATCATATACAATAATCTCTAATAAATTATCACGAAAAAATCGAACCATATATAGCAGATATAGTTAAATAATATCAAATGGGTTTCTACAAAAGAAAATCATAAATATCATGGGAATTTGACATCACCCTCTACCACCCAAAATATTAATAGATTTTAAGTTGACATAGATAGAAAACCAATGCATAACTGACCATGAGCATACTGACCAAAGTAAAAAATAAGGTATAAGATAGACAATACGGTATAAATAAGATTGATAGACAATACATCCGCTAAATTTGAAACAAGTACAGAACTCAAACAATAACACAGGGATTTAGTAATGCGGGCGCTAAGAGATTCAATTTCTAAAAAAATATCACTATTTAATCATTTTTCGTACTTGAAATGGCCTAATACCATGTTTCCACTAATATCATTTGGGCAATTTTGCTGATTAATACCGCTATATAAGGTTCATTTACCATACAAAGTGCTTACATATAAACGGGTTCATTATAAATAAATTTTTTTATATGTTATTATTATTGATTTTTGGCGAATAATGTCGAATGCACCCCTTAAAATTAAATTTCCTGCAAGAAAAATTACCAAAATTTAAAATATTTGTTATATGTTATATGTATGTAAACAAATAATCTATTTCCAATGCATAAACCAGCTTTTGCCAATGGAAACGATCACATCTTAATATTATTAGCGTAAGTAGTTTTAGCTGCAGTCGCAACATATTAAAGCCGTGAGGTAAAGTAAATTAAAATTTCCTAGGAATTTTTTGCACTGCACTTATTTAAATATTAATTTATTTATTTATTGCACATATTTTTTTTTTTTTTGTTAAAATTTTTTGTTAATTTTTATAATAATTTACTATTTCTCTGAATTTACCATCAATTTACTCGAACTCGCACATGTACTGAGAAACATATTTTTATACAATATTTTAAATCGGTTCTTATGCACATATATAAGTTAACAACCCCGTACATAACTTTCGAAATTATTTCGAAGTCAGCTGTTCGAACTGTCAAACTCAAGCGACAGCCTTCTGCGATATATGGCAGAAGGTATAAAATAATTCTTTTGACAAACATAAATAAATACATTAAATTTTTATTGTCTTAACATAAAAACATGTCAAAAACAGTTATTAAACTTATAGGACGGAAAACAGATTTTCGTGGCGAGTCACTTTGGGATGTACTATCTAATTTGCGCAATTTCGGCGTTGGCCGTCTAGTGATACGTAACATGTTTCAGCGTTATCCGGAACCATGCTATTACAAAATACTTAATGTTGAAGCTTTTCCAGCTCCAACTAATCCACATGTAAGTTTTAAAATAAAAGTATGGAAAAACTGAAATTCCTATATACAATTTTATTTTTAATAATAAATGTAGGAACCACGTAAATCAATAGTAACTGTAGAAAAAACCTGGCGTGGTGTTACTTCTCCAAAACCCGTAACAATATTTAGTACTAGTTACAAATGTGACTACGAACTTGTGCCAAAGGAAGAAGAGGAAAAATATTTAAATAATTCTAAAAAGATTGAAGAAAAAATATTACCAAATAAAATAGACATGCCCCCACTACTGCGAGAATTTGTCACACAAGAAACTGGAGAAAAGAATCCAATGCTAAAGCTGCACTTCAAAAAAACACATAACAAATTTGTACGCGTGGCAGAAGAAGGTGAAAAACCGAATGTGCAAATATCGATGGGTATTGGTAAACCAAAAAGTAGTTTATATGAAGGTGTTTTATAAACAACAATTTACAATAATTTACACAATAAATTTATTTCAAAAATAAATATAATTGTTATAGAATGTATCGTTACTGTATGTACAATTTTGAAATAATTAAATAATAATTTAAAATTTGCAACATAAAATAAAATTACTTTAATTTATAATAATTACACACTCAAAAAACCAAATAGCTCATATTTGGCTTTCGCATACGTCACTCTTTTGCTTCTATTTGTCTTAATTTACGTGTTAAATTATCTACTTCAAGTCCTAATACATCTAAATTTTCCTACAAAAATAAATGATAAAAATAACAAATTATTTTTACAAATATTACAATTATAATATAATTGTAATATTTTATATTACAATTATATTTAAAATTATATATTTTATAATTTTTATCTACCTTAAGTGTTATATTTTTTAATAAAGTGTCTTCGAGCACAGCTTGCAACTTCTTATTTATTTCCAGTGATAGTTCTAGACTCATACTTTTGTTATCACCTTTAATACCGCCATAAATGGCCGACATAACACCGTTGCCATACTTAGCTAGATCAGATTTATTTTGGTCACTTTTTATGGACGTCAGCGCACCAGCTTGGTCTCGCAGCATATAATATTGTACCACTTTTGATTTTTTCTGTAACTCCGACACTAAGGAGAGTGTGTGATTCTCAAGAAAATCTATTTTCTCTGTTTGCCTCGCTGAAGCTTGTTGTAGCCGTAATATGCGTTCAACAAGATGTTTTTTTGTTGGTCCCTAAAATTAAATTTAAATTATTTAAAATTATTTTGACGACATATTTTCTCTATTTTAAGTTACTTGTAAATCATTTTGTACTGCTGTAGCACTGCTTGCTACTGTCTCTGATTCTGAAGATTCACTTGGCCGACGACTGCCATTGCCACTGTTACTACTATTACGACTGTGTGTGCTTTGTGTCGCTGGCAAATCATCAGACTGTTCCGAGTTATAGCCATTGGTTGTACTTGGTATGTTACTCTGTAGCATTTTCGGTGAGCTGCTTGCGTGATGTATTGATTTTTGATACTTTTGTATTTCACGTTGAAGCTCCTTGACTACAGTGGAATGTTTATTGTTAGTAGCTTCAAAATCTCCCATAATATTTTCTAATTTCATTTTGGTAATTTCATATAATTTCGTCTTCTCTGATAAGTGTTTAGCCAAAATTTGTCGCTCTTCGTTCTTCTGTTCGATCTCATCTTTAAGTTTATTTTCTAGTTCTTGTTTATTCGTATCATAGCCCAATTTTTCTTTATTCAATATCTCGTTCTCAGCCTCAATACCTTGCACCTGTGTAAAATATATAAATTTTTATTATCCATAGTATTCAATAAAAATATATTTAATTATTTATTTATTTAGCTAATAAGCTAATATAGTTTCCTTAAACCGACCATTAGATATTTTAAACACATAATAATATCTAAGAACAACATAAATTATAGACTATAATATATAAATAGGTAAATGTGACACTCGTTCCCTAATAAGTACTTAGGAGGTGAAACTCATCGACATCATGATGTCCCAGATAAACCTCACGGTCTGTATCAATACCATTTAGAAAATTGATTGATAGAGTTGGCTTTTAGTTGGCTCTTACCTCAACACTGTGACGAGGTCATTCTGACATTGCCGGATTAGTACAAAATTTCTACTATTCCGAATTTAAGGATTGTCTGGGTCTCCGATCTTAGCACTATCACGAGGTTATACTGACACTGTCAGACTAGTAAAAAATAGGTATATTCCCGACAATAGAGTGACTGCCTGCACTTTTCTACCAAACTCATCCGTTAACTCTTTTCCTTCCATAATGCTATATCCAATTACATGTATCTTCCTTTCAATTTCAAATTAGTCAAAAGTTTGTATACATTTGGGTACGTTTTTTGAGGAGTTGCTATAGGCAGGTATAGCAATATCTTTTAATACGTTCGGCGTAAAGATCCACTGCTTTTATAGTAGCAAATACTTTCAATTAGTAGATACAGCAGTAGTCCAGTAACCACTATAACTGTACGAGCGGCGGATTCTACATGGCATAGTCACTTGTTAAAGCAAGGACTAAGTCCACAGACCACTCTCCATAGATTCAATAATAATAATAATTATTAATATTTGATTAGAAGTAGTGGACTGCAGCTCCTAGTTCTGCTTCCATTTTTAAGTTATCCGTAAAGAAGTCATAAACATTATATAGTAGATAATCAATTTTAAATCAATTTAATATTAATGCATTACTTAGCAACTGAGATCGGATTTTTACTTACTTTGTGCTTCAAATACAAAATAAAAAGTGATAAAAATGATTTCATCTACTTTTTAATACAGAGTTACTACTAGGCCACTGTTATTTAACTCTTTCAAACATTAGCATGAATATGATACCTTCCACATTCTTCTTTATTGCTTTATGTTTGATATATCGAACTCAAAGCATTACAAGCACCTCAGAACTATACTTAAAAAATCTACTACAATCCGAAAATCCTACTGTACTTTGTGTTTCTCAACAAGCTAATAATATTCTTTAAATCAAAAATGGTTTAAATTATTACCTTCGATTTGAGTAAACAAATCTCATTTTGCAATGTTACAATCGATTCCATCATCTCTTTGTTAATACTTAATAACTCTTGTTCTTTGGCGTGCAGTTCTTTTAAATCCTGAGCATTGTCCTGCAATTTCTCATTAGAGTCCTCAATTATGGCTTTCAGTTCACGAATTTGTTGTTCATTTCTAAACAAAAGTAAAAATAGTCATAATAAACAAAACATTTCAGATCAATAAACTATCAGATTAGTAAACTTACAAGGTGTTCTGAGTTTTGAGTAACTGCAACTCATCCAGTTGTCCACGCAGTTTAGCTGAATTTAGTATCTCATTACTATAAGAATTTTGTACTGAATTATGCTCTTCCTGTAATTTTTCCAATTCCTCACTGAGTTTGGTTTTCTGACATAAAAAAAATTAAATATATTTTGAAATTTGTTTACAACATATATCGAAGCCACTTACCGCTGCCATTTCAAGACATAATTGTTCCTGTAAATGTTTGATAGTTTCACTCGACTTCTTGTGTTCTTTTGTCAAATTTTCCACAATCTCGGTTTTGCGTGTAATCTCGTGTTTGAGTAAAATGGTATTTGCTTCAAACTCCATGCGTAGTTTTTCTACAATAATTGATATTTATAAATAAATTATTTTAGTTTTATATAAGTTTACCATACCATTGGCTTTCTCTTCTAGTTTATTTGGTGCATTGCGTTCTTCTTCCAATTTCTTTTCCAATGCCTATAATATAGTGAACTATTAAAAATATGCTTTTACTCCTTGCATATAAACGCAAACCTGTTTAGCTTCAGTTTCCAAATTTAACTTATTAACGTGATATTTCAACTTGGACTCTAAATGACCATACTCAGTTTTCAGCTTTTCACATTCACGTTGATATTTGCGGACTTCGTTGCACTATAAATAAATAAGTATGAATTTTGTTTAAAACTTGAAATAAATTGAGTTACCTTTTCATCCATAATATGTATAATACGCGTTTTTTCTTCGTTTAAAGCTTGAAAACGTGTTGAGACATTCTTCACTTCTTTTCTGGTTTCAGCTAAATGCTTTTCTATCAAATCCTTTTCTTTCTTAGCATCAAGCAATAATTTCTCTTTTATGGCAAATTTTATGACTGTTGACTCCTTTTCTCTGTTCGCATTTTCCATTTCTTTGCGGAACTAAAAATAAAATCATATTAATTATATATTATTGAAATAAATTTTTATACACGTACCGACTGCTTTTCTCTTTCGAGTATTTCCCTTTCGCGCTGGAAGAGCACTAACATATTATCCTTCTGTGTTATTAAAGCACGCAATTGTTCCAACTGCTCCTCATATAGCAAACGCTGTTGTTCTTGTTGAGCTTCACATGCATTGTGTGATATTTGTATATCATTTTGTAGTTCATTTTGCCCTGTGTCATCTACTTGCAGTGGCAGTGACACCGTTCCAGCAGTGTACACAACTTTCTCTGTTGACACCGCTGTGATTGTATCTTCTGGTTTTGTTATTATAACTGCAACTGGTAACTGTATAGTTGTTTCTTGAATCGATTCAACTATTGGTGCTACAACTAAATTAGCAATAGTTGAACTTGGTTCATCTTTCCTGTCCTCTGATTCAACTTCTTTACATGAAGGTTGTACGCTCATTGTGACATTATATGACTCTTCTGTTTTAATTACATCTATTTTTGTATTGAGCAATTCTTGGCACGTATTCGTTGCTGTTTTACTTTCATTTGTGATACTTTGATCAGCCTTTTCTGTATTAGATATTGTTTCCATCTGTTGGTATAACATTTCCTGGTCTCCCTCACCATTTTCACAAGACAAATCAGTGCAAATTTTCTCCGTATTTTGCAAAGTAACAATTTGTGTGTCTAAATTGACTACATTTTCGTCCGCAACATTTTTCACTTCATCCATTTTTGTAAGTTACAACATTTGTTAATGTTTTTGTTGAACTTGATTGTTTTCTTAATTAAAATTTTTGCAAAAAAGAAAAAACTTTGTTTACGCGTCAAACAGTTGAATGCAATTATTTTTGAAAAGTGCTGCCAAATCGACTTTGAAATATAAACAACTTTAACAAATTTATTAATGCAAAAATATAATATACATAAAAAATGTTTTCCTTCATCACCAAAAAAATTTTATACTAAAATCTATAAAAAGTTTTATTAATAACTTTTGTAGCAATAATTATTAGCATAAGTGTATAGAAATAAGTATACTCTTTAATAACATACCTGCGTTTGGTGCTTACTGCACCACTTCTGACAGCTGTTGAATGAATTCGTGAGCTTGTTTACTTGTTTGAATAATTTAATAAAATTTATTGCTAAAGTAAATTAAATATGGTTTGCTCGCTTGGTATTGAAGGTAGTGCCAATAAAATAGGTATTGGTATTATACGCGATGGTGAAGAGTTGGCTAACGTACGCCGCACATACATAACACCACCTGGTGAAGGTACGTTCTTACAATACATAAATGCACTGGATTTTAAATAACTTTTCAAATAGGTTTTATGCCAAGAGAAACAGCCAAACATCATCGCGAACAAATTGTTAATCTCGTTAAGCAAGCTATCAGTGAAGCAAAGATAAATCCCACTGAAATTGATGTAATTTGCTATACAAAAGGGCCTGGTATGGCACAGCCATTGCTTGTTGGCGCAATAGTGGCGCGCACATTATCATTGGTATGGAATAAACCACTACTTGGTGTAAATCACTGTATTGGGCATATAGAAATGGGTCGTTTTATAACAAAAGCACAAAATCCTATCGTGCTCTATGTCAGCGGCGGTAATACACAGGTTATTGCCTATTCAAATAAACGTTATCGTATATTTGGTGAAACTATTGATATCGCAGTGGGAAATTGTTTAGACCGTTTTGCACGTATCATAAAAATTTCCAATGATCCTAGTCCAGGCTATAATATTGAACAACTAGCTAAAAATAGTCAAAACTATATAAAACTACCTTATTCTGTTAAAGGTAAAAAAAATTTTTTCATTTAATGTAATGTTAAAAAAAATTAATTAATTTTCAAGGTATGGATGTAAGCTTCTCTGGTATTTTATCATATATAGAAGAATTGGCTGATCCAAGCAAAAGACGTCAAAAACGTAAAAAGGATGAGAATGGTGCAGAACCTGAATATTCTAAAGAAGATCTATGTTATTCTTTACAAGAAACTATATTTGCTATGCTAGTCGAAATTACAGAACGTGCAATGGCGCATTGTGAATCAACTGAAGTGAGATATAAATACTTGGATTTTTTTTATTTTTATTACGTTTACCTTTATTCAGGTTCTTATTGTTGGTGGTGTTGGTTGTAATTTACGTCTGCAAGAAATGATGGGTATTATGTGTAAAGAACGTGGTGGTAAGGTGTTTGCCACTGATGAACGTTACTGCATTGACAATGGTTTGATGATAGCACATGCTGGTGCTGAAATGCATCGTGCTGGTATACGAATGCCTTGGGATGAATCATTTATAACGCAACGTTATCGTACCGATGAGGTACTTGTAACATGGCGCGACGATTAATTTTTATTAAATTGACAGAACCTTTAAAGTTTTCCAAAAATATGTTTTCGACATTTATGTTAAATAAATAATAATATATTAATAATAAGAGATACCAAAACATATTGATATTATATTTGTAACATGAAAGATATGATGGATTCATTCAGTGGAATTCTTAAAACCATAATCTTGAAGTGCAGCTAATTGATGCTTACTCAATATGATTTTTAGAAGATTTAAACAATCTTTTAAGTATTAAATGGCTTTAGTGTCTATTTTTTTTAAGTGCCACTTACCGCTTTCATTCGAGTTTCGTCATCGATTAGGGCCGTAAAATATCTGGTCACAATAATTAATACAGTAATCATAAATTCTAAATTTTAAATTTATCTATTTTTAAATGGCTATAATAAACTTGGTTATTAAAAAATGAATTACTTTAAAAAAAGTAAAAAAGTTAAATATTTCTAAAAATTATATATTATAGAGTAAATAATAAGCCCAGAGGGAACAAGTAATAATATTTGACATCAAATAATTTTTTTAAGGCTATTATGTTTAAAGTTTTGTTTAGTTGATGGTTATTATCTATCAAAAAATTATTATAAAATTGACAGTCATTTAATTATTTGAATTCTGTCGGTCAAGAATGTTAGAGAAAACTTCAGTATTTATGAGCTATGTGAACTCTTAAAGAACAAACCTTTTATTTTTATATAAATTCAACTAATATTTTATTAAATTATTTATTAAGATATTTATTTAAATAGTATTAATTAAACAGCCAAATTTGTCTCCTAAACATATATTTATTAACATAAAAAAGTAATAGAGCATTGTCGAGCATCCCTTTTTAACCGAATTTTATATGTAACTTGTAAATCATAAATAATTTGAATAATAAATAATTTTATTCATTTAATTCTTTTTCGATGCCGCGCCAGTAACTAGTCATTTCCATTGGAAACAGGCGTTTACCTTCGATAATATAAACAGCACCATTTTCTTCCTTTTCCAATGCAGATAACATGCAACGTCCCACATCCGTGACGCTTTGCTTGTTCAAACGATCCAAAACACGATACGATTCATCTCCCATATCAGAATAAAGAATCTTCTCAGTAAAATTCGTGAACATATCAGTAATAGTGGCACCTGGACAAACAGTAATAAATTTGATGCCAGTACGTTGAAGATACATATCGTTCTAGAGAGAAAATATAAAAATTAGTAGAATTATTAGATGTAAATAGTTATCTGAAGTACTGGACAACGTCGACATATATATAAGAAGTGTGAGATAATATGATATAATGGAGAAAGTTTGAAGTTATTAGTACTTGATTTCAAATAATTTACACTATACAATAAATATGAAAGTAATCATCCACACTTATCTAGGTTGTTATATTTAAGCAATGTAATATATAATAAAAATATTTCTCTCTTAAAGGAGTCCAAAACAAGTTAGCAAACTTACGCCAAAGCAACGTGTAAAATGTATGATGCCTGCTTTAGTAGATGCATACACAGGGATCAAAAACATAGGATCTAATCCCACAACTGAAGACATATTCATTATAATTCCACCATTGCCACCATTTTCTTTGCTCATGTATTTCATGGCTGCGAGCGTAGAATTTATCATGCCGCCCTTTGAAAGAAATTCAAGATCAATCTGAATTTCAGTTCTCTAACAAAACACACCACTTACCAAATTAGTCATTAGTGTTTTTTGTACATCTTTATCGTTGAAGATGCCTGCAACATTCACGACAATATCCAAGCTTCCCAAAGATTTTATTATTTCGGCATATGTAGCATCCATGCCTTTTTTATTGGATACATCCATTTTAATAAGCACTACACTTTGAGCTGGATATGAAGATCGCATCTTAACAACCTCTTCCATATTATCCTGTAAATCAATTATAGCTATTTTCTGAAAGGAAACAATGATATTATAATATCTATACTTTCATGTTTTATAAATCTGTAACATACCGCCACTTCACTAGCAAGCATTTGTTTGCATACTTGCAATCCAATACCACTTGCTCCGCCTGTGATGACGATATTCTTACCACGGAAAGCCATTTTGAGTTTAATATCTTTTATTGAACTGCTTCTTCTTCGATTGCTGCTGGTACCGCCCTGTTCAGTTTTATAGGAGAAAAAACTTCGTATACCTTGATAGAAATCCACTTTGCTGGTCAATGTTATACTGAATCCATCGCTGATCCCATTCACATTTTTATACTTTTTTGCGAACTATGTAGTTGCGGATATCTGATATCTTCGTTACACATTTGAGTGAGATAATTAAATTTTTTTTAATCTTTCTATATTGAATTATGCGATTATAAAATAATTTGTAAACGAAGATCTTTGCCACTGATGCACAACTGCCACAATTCCAATCGCAATATCAATTTCATTCGATCGCTACAAAATTAAATAAAGACGCTAAGGTGTAAACGGCGAGGCGTTAGTTAGTATTTATCTGACTTAAACGCTATTATTTACATATAAAAAAAATTTTTTTTTATTAGATAACCAAATTGTCTCATCTGTTATTTTGTTCTTATAGAAAAAATTTACGAATTGATTGTTGAGGTTGGTTAGGAAAATTTAGCTCAAATTCCCATTTATTTTTTTTAGTCTCCCATTTATTATAGATTAGTTTGTTTATAATTTTTTTTCAGTAATTGTATAATTAAGATATTTACTAATTGTTACTGAAGCGAAACAATTAAAGATTTTCAATTAACATTCAATCAATTTACAAACTATTTTAGAAGTCTCCGATTTGTTCACATTCTTCAATGTAGGTCCCTCAACAACAAAAAAAAAATTTCTATATTGTCTTGAATTAACTTCTACAGTGTTCTCCATAAGAAATATATACATACTTATAGACATACTTAGTCAGGTTACTACTCCCTCAACTTGATCACTCCACCGGAGACATGGTCTACCTCTACGCTTTGTTTCGCCAACTACTTCTTTAAATACCTTTTTCGCTAGCACATCTTTATCCTCTTCATTCTTACGACATCACCAACTCATCGTCGTGATAAAGTTCGTACAGCTCGTGATTCATTCAGATGTGGTAGTCGACGAAATATAGACATAATAACAAGAAAAGTAGTCATATAAGTCCTAACTATAGATTTTAAAGAAAATGAGACAAATTGTCTAATATGTTGTATAGGTTTTAAATGTACCAAGATGTTGGTGACCCTTCGAAAAGTTGCGATTTCCACAATTCAAGTCAAAAGAACACAACTTGATAAGTCTATAATAACAGTAACCAATATTTATGGATGAAATTCAGTAATATAATTTTCAAGCTGAAAAATATTTACCATTCAATCGACACAAGTAAAGTCAAAGGCAAACAATAATGGCTGAATCTGAATACCAAAAAGTTATCAAATTGTAAACACAATCTATATTTTGTGAGAAGCGCTAAGAGTGTTGACATTTCACTACATACAACATTTCACTGCATACAACTATATACATGTTAGATGAAAAACTAAGAGACGTAGTAGAAAACGTACCAAAGCTCAACTGATAATGAAGATCATATATTTTTTTCATCGCTCTCCAAAAATTTGGATTATTTATAAAAATTGTTTATCATGATTTCGTTCTTATATCTATATCATAGCAAGTAAATTTGTTGGTTATTTTACAGCAAATTAATAAAACTCCAAGTCCGAACATACAAGTCAAGAACGACTTTGGGTACTGACCTTTAGCTTCAAATTTCGCAGGGCACGAATTCAACCCTTGGTACTTACACTCGCCACTCTATTTGTAGACCACTGAAGAAGACTATTTGACAATACTCGAAATGGCTGTATAATGAGGCAAAAATTCAATTAATTAAAATAATAAAAGAGTTTGTAATTGTAGCTCACTACTATTCGAAACCTCTATATAAAATAATTTAATTCATTTATTTTATTATTATATTCCATTGTAAATATTTTATTCTATTTAGAATTTATTATTAAGTTAACTTTCTAAGCCAACACTCGACTATATGCTACCAAATTGTAAACACAATCTATATTTTGTGAGAAGCGCTAAGAGTACAATGTTAAAGTGTTGACATTTCACTACACACAACTAGGATATGAGATGATAAACTAAGAGACCTAATAGAAAACGTACCAAATCCAACCAATAATGAAGACTATATATTTTTTTCATCGCTTTCCAAAAATTTGGATTATTTATAAAAATTGCATATTATGGTTGGTTATTTTACAGCAAATTAACAAAACTCCAAGTCCGAACATATAAGTCAATAACGGCTTTGGGTACTGACCTTTAGCTTCAAATTTGGCAGGGCATAAATTTAACCCTTGGTACTTACATTCGCCAGTCTATTTGTAGACCACTGAAGAGGAGTATTTGCCAATACTCGAAATGGCTGTATAATGAGCCAAAAATTCAATTAATTAAAATAATAAAAGAGTTTGTAATTGTAGCTCACTACTGTTCGAAACCTCTATATAAAGTAATTTAATTCATTTATTTTATTATTATATTCTATTGTAAATATTTTATTCTATTTAGAATTTATTATTATTATTATATTCTATTGTAAATATTTTATTCTATTTAGAATTTAAAAAAAGTTTATATAACATTCAAAATGATGTTTTTCAAACTATCTTTCAATTAGAAGTTTCTGATATCTAACGAGAGATATATACCATACATTTTATTCCGCATATCTTATTCACTGAATTCCATTATATACAAGTTGTTATTTCAATACCGTTCAATCGCTTCTTTCCTAGGGAAACTGTTTCTTAAGCATTTCTCACAAAAGATTAAACTCCGCCTAGAGTTGTAAGCTAGTCTTGTAAGTTAATGGCAAGTAGCTCCATGTCCAAACCGTCACTAAAGAACAAATTCATTCCATCTCTGGTGTAATATTGTCATTACAAAAACAGAACTACAAAACCATCGTCTCGTGACTATTGATGGCTAGTGGTGTCTTTATGAGCTAATACTAGGGAATTACATTTTATTGACTAAATGGACTTCGCATAACTTTACTGGGTATTCTTTTTGTGCAATTAATAAATCATTTATTGCTTTTCATATACATATATTAAATTTTATTGGCCATTTTATTAAAAGTACATACATTTCAATTTTCAATACAACTTCAGGAATTCTTCAATATTTTCAATGTCGTTATTAATAATAAATAAATAAATTCCAATAATTTTGCATAAAACTTTTTCCTCTATATTGTAAAAATTTTGAACATTTATTATTAGATTTTTATTTATAAAAGAACTGTAAATAGATATATCAATCGGTGTAAATAACTCTGTGGTCATTAAATTTTGAACTTCTTTTTGGTTTCAATAGGTATTAGGTATATGTAAGAGGTTTATATATATAATTTTGATAGACATTTAAAAAGTGATTTTTTTTTTATTAGTAGGTTCAGAGGGTATTGCTTCTCTTAGAGCTAAGAATTTAAATGTATTATGTATATGGAAATATATTTTTTAATATGTATTAAATATAAAATATTTATAAATAAATTATTTACGTATATATGCAATATCACAACTTAACTTTAAAATTATATTAAAAATTATTTAAACTAAAAGTAGATTAGAATTTTTAAATTAAGTTCGGGAAAAAACCTTGTTTGAAAATGTGGGTTTCTTAGATTGATCTTGCGAATTTGAAAAATTATTAATAATCATTTTAATTTTTTTTTTTTTTTTGACTAAATAATTAATGTGCAGTATCGTATGAATCCTTGTGTTGATAGCCAGTTACATAGCCAGAATCATCAACCAAATTTTTGCGTCCAGCAATACCTTTACCTTTGCCAGTGGCATCGAAACGTTCTTTATGAGATCCAGTATATTTGCTAGTGTCGGTGAGACGCTCCACAGCTGAAGCAGCTTTGCCAGCCTGAAAAAAATAAATGGAAAAATAGTGTTACATACTTTTCTAACTTAGAATTTAATAAATTTTTCTGTACTTACGGAAACTTGTAACACTCCTGGTGCACCACAACCGGACATTTTCTTCTTGATTTCATCGAGCTCAACTTTTCTAGTTTTTGCTAAATCATCTAAGAACTTATTGTAATCGCCATAGGAGATTTTCATTGCTTTGAATTTCTTGAAATGTATACCAGTATCGGTAGTTGTAATTTTCTTATCGATAACCTTGGCCTGCTTCATCCATTTGTCACTCTGCGATAGTGTTATCATCTTACCATCTGATTTAGTATCTCCGAATTTTGAGAAAGCCTTAAATTGATCTTGAAAACTAACTTTAGGTTCTTCTAAGGCCATTTGAGCCATTTCTGCAACAGGTCCGTCGGCGGGTGCAGGTGAGGGGCTTGTACCATTCTTAGCTTCATCAGACATGCTATTAGATCTGCAAAAAAAATAGTGTTAAAAGATTATTTTTTTTTTTCATATTTTTTTATAGTTCAATAAAAGTTCCTTTCCATGAAATATTTATTTTTATTATAAGTCACGCACGCTACTCAATGTTTTATGGGTAGAAAGGACTTATGTAATTCTCACCTATAAGCTGCTACACGCACATACATTATTGTGTTTTTTTTTAAAGTTTACTAGTTACTTTGTGGATAAACTAAATTGTAATTGACGTAATTCTTATTATTGTATTCTAGGACGTTGTGTGTTTTTGGTGTGTAGAAGAATTATATTTAAAATTAGGTAATTACTCACTTCTTCAGATTTGGTATGATTTCATTGTTCATGTATAATTATAAAATAAAGTAAATACATAGCCCTTAGTTTATTTTTGAGGCAAATCAGACCTAATTACAATTCAGAATATTTCTTTTAAACATTTATTTAAGTAATATTTTTAAATAAATGCATATTAAAATAAATACTCTAGTATAAAATAATTAATAAGGTTTTGAAAATTATATTTGAGATATGCATAACATATATTTGGTATATTTCTAAATCTCACACCCGTTATTATTTAAAAAACTAGGTTTGTTACTTGTTAGGGCTATTGAAACCCTTCTTAAATGTAAACATATTGGAAAGTACTGATAAGGAAGCAATACGAACTACTTAATAGTGTAGTCGAAACAAATAAAAGAAATACGTTTCATATTAAGTATAACATCCATTTCTTTGTATTTCGAATATGGATGTTTGAAAATGATATAGTCAATAAAAGCAAAAAAAATAGATTTCACACCCCACTACCAATTACACTACAGGGTCAACATATCATATATTACTGACTGATCATTAACAGTTTATGAAACAAAAATTTAATTGTACTTGATAATAAAATATGTATTGTAACTAATATAGATCGCACACTAATTAACATTTTATGAGACAATAAAATGATTGGCACGAATATTAAACAAAATATATTATCTGACTGTTAGCTTAATACCCCAGCAAACATTACCTCTAATATGTGGTATACAATAGATTGCTTTTGACCTTTATGTAAGAAAAACCGTGTTATAGTGCTTAACACAAAGTCTTGAGTTTTATCTTGTGTCTATTCTATTCTTCATAGTATGCGTTTCCCCTAGTGGTGAATAGGGCCGCAACGATTCTCTTAAACCGCACTCTGTTAGGTGCTTTTCTGCATATATGCAGAACTATATATATATAGTTCCATGTATAGTGCTCTTCTGTCATTTCTCTTTCAATTGTTCTTCTTCAAGTTAAAGCCGGTGTATCAGGGCGTCGCTGCCTTGTGGTTTCAATGTCAAAGCTTGTCATGGAATATATTTATTTGATCGTCGGATAACATGTACTATCCAATTCGATTTTCGCATTTTTATTTCGGTTACAGCAGTTTTCTGATTTGTTTGGAGCAAAAGTTCTGCATTTGATATGTGGTTAGGCCACCATAATTCTAGGATTTGGTGGCCTAATAATAATAAAACATGTTCTGAATTAATTATATAAAATATTTTAAATACATTTTCACTCCAATAATTTTTATAGATGTAAATTCTGTGTATATAGAAGTTGTAATTGCGACTATTCACTACATTCATGCAGTGATATCTCTAAATTGAATTCATTCATTCAGAAATTAATTAACACTTATGGTATAAATAATTTATTCAAGGTATTGAAGTTCAATAAGTTCGTATTCAATTTCATATACTCGTATATTCCTAATTATGTAATTATTAGTTATTCAACTAAAACTTTTTTAAGCATAATGGTATGTTTAATTATATATCTCAACTAACATCTATTTAAAATAATTTATTAAAATATATTATTTGCAGTTTAATAAAATTATTTACGTATAATTATATATAAGAAGAATAAATTTAAAGGGTTTTTGGATTATTAGGAAAAGTAATTTTTTAAAACATTATTTATATTCTTTTATTAACATTTACTATATATTATTTATATATACAGTGCTATGTATATATCTATAAAGACTCTGCATAACTGTGTGTGTGCTAATTGATTCAATTGATTTATTAGAAACATATACCCAATTCATCCATTGGATCATTCAGTGTTATCAAAATTTTATAACTCCTATACTTCAATATATAATAATGTAACCAGCGAAACAAAATGGAGTTTGTATGTCGAGAAAGAGCGCTACATCCCAATTGTTTACAAAGCCCATAGTAGCGTCTATTGGCAATGCTGATTCTTTGTCTGATCTTCAAGCTGACATCATTTTTGTTCGTTCGATTACTATTCATAGAAATTATTACCAAAAAATTTTAAACTAATGCAATTCACTTTAAACTAGTGTCAACACAAATAACATATAAAGTACGAACCATTTGCGTTAGAATAGTATTCATATATCTTGTTACCAAAATTTTAAAACTAGTTCACTTCACACTAGTATTAACACTAGTATGTTAACATGTAATGCACAATGTAACCAGTTCGAAAAAAATGGATTCGACTAGTATTTATACTAGTTACTACCAAAAGTTTTGAACGATTGCACTTCAATTCATAACAGTGTCAACACTAAAGCATGTTATAAGCACATTGATTAAATGTAATAAGCACAAATTGATTGAATTTGAACAAAATGAATTGGACTAGTATTTATACTAGTTACTACCAAAAGTTTTGAACTAGTGCAGTTTACTTGACACTAATATCAACACTAAAGCATGTATTAAGCACACAGTAATCAATTTGAACAAATTGAATTGGACTAGTATTTATACTAGTTACTACATTTTAAACTAGTGCAGTTTACTTCACACTAGTGTCAATACTAGTAACATATAATAATGTTCGATTTAACCGGTTTAAACAAAACTTATTAATCGCTGCTATAGTTACCAATAGCTAAAAACGAAGTAGTCCTATAGAAAACATATGAAATATTTCATCAACTACTCCCAATAATTTTATACTGGTCCAACAGGTCCCTTTAAATGACAGAGTTGTATAAATCTAACCATTACTTTCACTTGGCGTTTGACTACATTAGGGGCAAGTACTGTTTATATTATGTTTAGTCAGAATTTAGTGTTTAAACTAGCCCGATTTTATATAGGATACATTAATACAAAAATCTTTATAGTCTCAATAATTTTGTACTGAACCAACAGGTCCCATTAAATGACAGGGCAGTGTAAAAGTAACCATTACTTTCACTTGGCGTTTGACTACATTAGGGACAAGTACTGTTTATATTATGTTTAGTCAGAATTTAGTGTTTAAATTACCCCGATTTTATATAGGATATATTAATACAAAAATCTTTATAGTCCCAATAATTTTATACTGAACTAACACGTCCCACTAAATGACAAGGCAGTTTAAAAGTAACCATTACTTTCACTTGGCGATTGATTCCATTAGGGACAAGTATTGGTTATATTATATTTAGTCAGCATTTAGTGTTTAAATTTTATAGTTTATATAGGATATATTAATACAAAAATCTTTATATTTTATAATTTTATTATCCCTTTATCAGATTATCAAATTTATTTTCCTATGTTGATTATTATATACTTATACTCTTATATACTTAACACATATCATTTATATTAATTTTATAAATGAAATATTTATTTATTTTGCGATTTGTTTAACTGAAGACTACCACAACTGCCATAATTTTAACCGCATTAACACACCGAAAACACTTGTAGAAAATAGTTCATATCTTCAGGCAACAAGTTAAACAATGTTTTTAAGTAAATCACAACAACAAACGAGAGTAAAATGTAAACAATTGTGTAAACAAAAGATAATAAAGTTTAAAGAAAAACTGATATCAAGACAAGAGTTCAATCGATTGACAATTTGAGATTTTCCAACGTTTTCTTACACTAACAAACTTAAGTAAACTTAAAGATACAAAAGCACAACTGCGTCGTCGAACTTAAAGCCAAAAATACGCAAAGCTACAAGTCCACACCGAAGGCGCAGCAAATAATGAACTCAATATCAATTCTTCTACGTTATTTCGCTTCTGCAGTTCATAGATACGCCGTAATAGCGATAATTAATTGTGTGCTTTTTTTTGTATGCGCAATCTATTTTGCTTTTAGATTGTTTTTTCTATTTTTTAAAAATCATATATAAACAAATTTGGATGATATCATTGACTAACAACAAACAAGTATTAGCAATTCAAAAGTCAAGAGCTGCCAGTACTACAAAAACTTTAAACACCGTCTAAGAATTTAAAATAGATGGTCCAATAAGTTTTGAGCAATTCTCTTCTCGCAAATTCAAAATAAAAATCTCCATCATTTTAATGTTAAGATGGAGATAAAGATACAAATCTCTTCATTAAATATGCCTAAAAATATACTGAAGTGCTCTTAAGTTGCTTTAAGCGTACTTTGATAGTTTTCAATAACTCAATTCGCTTAGCAATTGTGTTATGAGAATATACTTATCACATTATCTTCTAGATATATTACAAATTACAAATTTCAACCATAAGACAGTTTTGACATTTTTAACTACGTCATTAATATGAAGGAAACTACATTTGCCTTTCTGAGTATAACACTTTCTATTTAATTATATTTTATAGATGTGTACAGCTTCTAGATAGTCTTAAACGCTTCCAATCAGATATATCACTCTAAATTTTTTTACATATGTTATACATATGTACGATTTATAAGCTTTGCCAATAAGTCAAAATAGTTCTAACCCATGAGTTTTTAATTATGGTATATGGTAACACAATAGGCCTGTAAGCTTAAGCGGATCTCTTGGGATCGCTGGTTTAACCTAACCTAACCTAAGTGTACGATTTCTGAAAATAATTAGTTTAATAATTCAAACTATATCTTTTATACCGTCTTCACAACAAAATATAGAAATAGTTTAAATATATAAATATATATATACCTTATTATTATTATGTTGAAGCTATTTGAGCTAGTGCACTTTACCACTTTTACTCTTTCTTAACTCGAGGTATTTTCAAAACCTCTCTTTACGCCTTGAGTGGATTAATGTTTATCACTTCATCAGACTAAGCAATAATACCTTATATAAATACATATATATCTTATATAAATATATTTAATGTTCCTCAAAATTATTGTGACGCATTGTAAGGAAACTTCGTACATTCCATCAAATATATATAACATAGATCAAATCAAAAAGCTGAGTTTAATTAAAATTGAGACTGCATTTACACTCGAAGACATTTATTGCTCATTGTGATGCTCATTGTGTTAAGCAATAACAATAAAGCTGTGGAGATCTATCGAGTCTAATGTCATTATTCATCTAGACCAGTGTATAACCGGTAACCAAGATATTAAAGTCGCTTCGTCAGACATAAAAAG